AACAGAAAATGCTCAATAAATGTCTGTTGAATTGATATATCATGCTCAAAATCATATTTCATTATGTCAGCTAGCCATATCAGATTCTCAACTTTTCAGCTCTACTCCATCCTAACCCTATAGTTTATAAAAAGGAAAAAAAAGTACACATTTTCAGTGGATTTCACTTTACCAACACAAACACCAAAACCAAAAATAAAATACTACAAGACAAAAACAAAACTACACCTTCAGTGCTTTTTAATTTCATAAAGAGAACTCCCACATTCTGAGCATGGCATTCAGGGTTTTCTAGCATCTGAGTCCTGTTATCCTCTCGTCCATCCTCTTCCACATCTTTTCATACCTAGATTCTTACCAATACAATATCATCCATTATTTCTGAAACAGGCAATTTCAGGTTTCCTTAATCATGCTGTGTGTTCAGTTTAAATGTTTCCCCACAGTTTTGAAGCCAAACCATGGTCTTCCTCCATGGGTGAAACTTTATCTTATAATTTGCTGCAGAACGAATACCCTTCATCTCTCTGCTCTTTCACACTTTGTTTGAGTCTCTATTTTATATTTTTTTTTGTACTAAATTAATTTTATTTATATGTTTATATGTTTGTCTTCATCACTGGAGGACAAATTATATAAACATTTTGTCATTGTTGCTTAGTCACTAAGTCATTTCTGACTCTTTGACACCCCATGGACTGTAGCCTGCTAGGCTCCTCTGTCCATGGAATTTCCCAGGCAAGAATCCTGGAGTGGGTTGCCATTTCCTTCTCCAGGAGATCTTCCCAATCCAGAGATTAAACCTAAGTCTCCTGCACTGGCAGGCTGATTCTTTACCACTGAGCCACCAGGGAAGTCCATATAAATATTTGCATAATGCTTATTTATCATTTCATTTTTTTCTATTTCTACCATTAGAGACTCACAGAATTTTCTGCACATAGTAGTTACTCAATAATTATATTTTGAAAGGACAAACACCCTTATTTAATACATATGATCAATATAGCGCTGTTTATTGAGCATGATGAAGGCTATTTCAACTACCTAATTAAGGAAACACCTAAGGAACAATGTGAAAACACCAAATATAAGGAACTCTATACAATGCAAGCTGACAAATATATATTGATCAGAAGGTTTATATCACTGTACTGAGTGAAGTAAGAACAAATAAGCAAGACATAGCACACTTTCTCAGGAACTAACAATCTAGACTTAGACAGGTATATAATAAACTCTAATACTTGTTTAACGGTCAAAACAAATGTTGAAGCCATGAGATTAAGCAATTTAAACTAAGAAGCAATGACTGCTGGCAAGAAATCATAAAAGATTTCATTAAAAAGGTGATATCTGAACTTGAGTTCAAATGGGGAAGTATGATTTCAATGGGTGAATTGGGGTTGTGAATACATTCCAAGAGAGACATTAACATAAGTAAGATTTAGAGTCAGGAAAAATGTTGACTGCTTTCAAAAACAATGAATACTATAATTTAACAAGATGTTAGAATGACTCTGATAAATAGGGGTAATAAGAGTTAAAGGTGATTTTTAGGCTAGGACCACTGAAGAGGTGCTCAATAGTATATTACAGGTCTAGTAGTAGACATCATTATATTATCAACATTCATAAATATGTAAATTTTCAAAAAAGCAAGAGAGTCCCAGAAAAACATCTATTTCTGCTTTATTGACTTTGTCAAAGCCCTTGACTGTGTGGATCACCACAAACTGTGGAAAGTTCTTCAAGAGATGGGAATACCAGACCACCTGACCCGCCTCTTGAAAAATCTGTTTGCAGGTCAAGAAGCAACAGTTAGAACTGGACATGGAACAACAGACTGGTTCTAAATTGGGAAAGGAGTACGTCAAGGCTGTATATTGTCACCCTGCTTATTTAACTTACATGCAGAGTACATCATGAGAAACGCTGGGCTGGAGGAAGCACAAGCTGGAATCAAGATTGCCAGGAGAAATATCAATAACCTCAGATATGCGGATGACACCACCCTTATGGCAGAAAGCAAAGATGAAATAAAGAGCCTCTTGATGAAAGTGAAAGAGGGGAGTGAGAAAGCTGGCTTAAAGCTCAACATTCAGAAAACTAAGATCATGACATCTGGTCCCATCACTTCATGGCAAATAGATGGGAGAAACAGTAGAAACAGCGGCAGACTTTATGGTTTTGGGCTCCAAAATCACTGCAGATAGTGACTGCAGCCATGAAATTAAAAGATGTTCACTTCTTGGAAGAAAAGTTATGACCAACCTAGACAGCATATTAAAAAGCAGAGACATTACTTTGCCAACAAAGGTCCATCTAGTCAAGGCTACGGGTTTTCCAGTAGTCATGTGTGGATGTTAAGAGTTGGACTATAAAGAAAGCTGAGCGCTGGAGAATTGCTGCTTTTGAACTGTGGTGTTGGGGAAGACTCTTGAGAGTCCCTTGGACTGCAAGGAGAACAACCAGTCCATCCTATAGGAAATCAGTCCTGAATATTCATTGGAAGGACTGATAAAGGTAAAACTCCAGTACTTGTGCCACCTGATGGGAAGACCTGACTCACTTGAGAAGACCTTGATGCTGGGAAAGATTGAAGGCAGGAGGAGAAGGGGATGACGGAGGATGAGATAGTTGGATGGCATCACTGACTGAATGGACATGAGTTTGAGTAAACTCCCAGAGCTGGTGATGGACAAGGAGGCCTGGCATGCTCCAGTCCATGGGGTCACAAAGAGTAGGACACGACTAAGTGACTGAACTGAACTGAATATGTAAATTATATCATTACGTTAGTAGTATATTAATATGGCATAGATTACAGTATATATCAGAAAATATTATGATAATAATCAGTATGAATGAATGCAGCTTTGCTTAGTGGGTTTAACCTTGAAGAATTATACAGCAGAAACCCTATTGTAATATCCCAGTTGAGAATAAGGAAGATTTGAACCATGGTGGTTTTGATGTATATGGAAAAATCAGAACAAATGAATGCAGGATAGACTGTGGATAAGGTTAAACGCATGGATTGAAACCCCCTGAATGCAGAGAGCTAAGATAAATTCAAAGACAATCACACTTTCAAGTAGGAGAGAATAGTGGTACATTAGGAGAAATAATCTCTCTGGATTCACTTGTAAAATAATAGTAGTAAGCCTGGCATGCTGCAGTCTATGGAGTCACAAAGAGTCAGACACAACTAAGTGACTGAACTGAACTTCCAGTATTATTCTGCTGATATGTGTGTATTTAGCCTAAAGCCTAGAGATTTAAAGCACTCAATAAATATTAGCTATTGCTATTATTAATTTACCAATAGAATAATCTAATATGAAAAATGGCATCTGACTCTAAAATGTTTATTATTTCATTTATTTATAAATATAATGGAAAGTTATTTAAAAAAATCAAAGACTATAGAAATATATAGTACATGTTTGCAAACACCAGAGACAACTAATGGTAACAGTTTAGCTAGTTTTTTTTCTATACCTATAATAATGCATTATTTTCTTAATTAATTTTTTAAAATTGTATTACTATTATTTGTAGTTGTGCAAATCGGGAGCAATCTGTGCAACTTCTTCCTTTTTCCATAATAGAATTCTTTGGTGCTTTCAGAACAGATCATATAGTTATCTCATATTCTTTTTAATAAGACTCCTTATTTCACTTCATTAATGTGCCACAGAGAATCTAGGGCCACTAGGGAAACCTAGGGAGGCCCATCAGCCCACATGGTAACTTTTGTTAACTAGAAAAATTGGTGTGTATAAATGGACACCTGTGGCAGAGAACAATCTATACAAACATTAGCAGAGCCCTTGAAGATGCCAAACCGATTTTTAAAATCTTTAGTGGAGCTCAGAAAAGAGCATGAACGCTGAGTTATAGATTTGGTTTCTTTTTCACAGGAGTCATGGTTGAAATCTTGGATGAAGGAGATATGGATAAAGTCTCCGAAGAATAGATTACATAAAGAAAAGTGTTAAAGGATGATAACTCCAAAATCATCTGTGAAAACAGCAAATGCATTATTTCTGAAATTTAAATTGTTAAACCTAGAATAAACAAAAGCCTATAGAAGCTCATTTAATTAGCCTAGCTAATTTTAAAAAACAAGGGAGTTTGTACCAGACAAGATTTTTAGCATGGTTGTAAATGTATACTTGTTAGTATGTGAAATGCAAATGTAAGTATTATTTTGTTAAGAATCTCTTGGTAAAACGTATAATTAGGGACACTGAAATCCCACTTGCTTAAGTATTTAAAAGTAGGAAGATTTTGCTAAATTGTTTAGTAATAATAATACCTGCATTTACATTCCTGGAACAGACTTCTGAAAAAAGGTAGCCTTGTAAATAATTATCAGAGAGAAGGAGTGAGACAGAGAGAGATGGGGCTATTTTAGTGGCCTGTATACATTTAATTTGAGATCCATCAATCTATCTATCACTCATCTATATCTTATCCAATGACTCAAGTTCATCGGTAGACAACCAAGGAAATAAAATATTGTAAAGGAAAGAATTAAATGTAAATCTCATGGATGATTATAAAATACTTTCTTAACGTCATGAATGAGAGCAAAAGAGTGGATTCAGTGATGCCACTAAACATGGGCACAATGCTTCATTTGTAACAATTTCCTAATTTAACAGATATTTGACAAGTTTTCCAGTTTTGAAGCTGTGTTTTACTTCTTAAAAGGACTGGCAATCTGCCTGCAGTCTTTCTAAATCCCCATCTCAGTACCTCTCATATCACTATCTCTTGATAATTTTTCCTTTCATCTCTTAGTGACAGATCTGAATCACCAGAAATCAGAAAACATGACTCTGGCAACTAGTTTGAACAGGCCTTGTTCAGTGGCATATACAGAATGTAATTTATTTTTTGTGACAGTTTTAATAAAAGTGACGTGAAACACAAGGGATATAATGTTATCGATATTGCACCTCAAAAGAGGAGAAAGTTTGGTATGTTACCTCCTGATTAGCAGCAGCTAGTTCTTCTTCCAGTGCAGAGACTCTTTCTAAAGAAACCCTCAGTCGCTCCCTTACCTAGAAGAAAAACCAAAATATGTGCAGTAATGTACATCCCATGCATATTGAACTGTGCTGAATCCATTAATATTACCAGAGACAGTCACATTTGGCAAACTATTAAACTATTTATAGCCTTAAGTGTTCAGAAATACTATGACTATGCTGTCACTTTAAAATACGACTGTATCAAGGGATTTTTCTTGTAAGCAAGTCCTTCTAGTGTTTTGATTAAGATCAACTCTTCTTGTACTGAATTCTGATACATAGTAAGTGGAGGCAAAGTTCAAAAGCTTATTATGAATTCATCTGAAAAACAGTCACTGATTAATCATAAGATACAGGCAAAAACCTTTTACTGCTTTAAAAAATAAGCTTTTTCCTTTGATGTTTAGTATAAAATAATTTGTCTAAAAGCAAAGGATTCTTAGAACCTGAAAACTGTTGCCCATTGCTAACAAAATTAATTTATATTGGTTAGAGGTCCACTTTGTTATTGAGGGATTGGAAAGTATGTAATTCCTCTGGAATTCCTAACTACTTTTCAGATACCAAAGGTTAAACCATTATATTTTACAGAACCAAAGAATGCACATTCAGTTTGAAAGTAATGATTTCCAAATGTTTCATAAACAAATGAAACTCAGAGAAGAGTTTCTTTGATCTTTGTTTTCTTAGAACTTCTAAAATTGTTTCAGTTATCATATGTTCAGGTTTGTAGATATGCTTCATATTAAATGCATCAAAAGTAGAAAAGCTCAGAGAAAGAAGTTTGACTAAACTAAAATAAATGACTACAGCAGTTTAATTTTCCTTAAAAAAAATCAGCAAAATTTATAGATTTAATTTAAAACGGAATTCATGGTGAGTTTTAGATTATTTTTGATTAACATTGATTTTCCATGGGAATATAAAAGTAAGCATTTATAATATGTAATTATATAAATTATATAATAAAGTTCAATTTTATCAATTTATTAATGGTATAGTTTAATTAATAGTCTTTTTCTTTTTTAAAGTAAGATTTAACTGGGGATATAAGTTAAATACACAGAATATCTAGAAACCTATATACATAATAAATTTAAAATTGAAGTACATTTTCTAGTTAGCAGACATAAAAAAACAAGTGATAGCTTATGAATCTAGACTCTAATCAGAATTTTTTTTAAAAAATCTCAATTATTTTAATACAGCATAATGAAAACTGAAATTATTCAGGTGACTGGGTGTACTTAACTCATGAAATACATCTTAAATAAGAAAGAATTAATGCCTGAGTGGAGTTTTAATACTAATTTCATTAATATTTTCATTATATTTCATTATGTTTAAAATCTGAAAATTAGTAATACATGCATAAATGGATTATTTGATATCAAGTATAATTACACAAGATCCTTCATGATATTTAAGTATGCCAGATTGGCTGCCAGGTACTAATGCTGTTAGACAAATATCCAACTGTTCATAAAAATGCATGAAACTTATGCTGATTAATAACTGAACAAGAGTGACTTAGAAGGAAATCTTCGATGATTTGACTTGGGAAATACTTTTTTCTATGAGTTCTTGGAAAGACACAAACAAAGCAAATATTCCAAAGGCATGAAAATGAGGAGGACTGCTGATATGTTGAATGCAGATATCAACAAAAATCTTAGTAGATGTCCTTGATATTTAAAAGGGATGATTGTAAAGTTTTATGCACCATTTCCTAAAATACTAGATATAAAATATGCATATTCTGATAAAAATCTAAGAATCTTGGTTGATGAGAAGAGCAATATGAAATAGTCAAAATGTAGATTAACCTCAACATATGAAACACTAATCAGATCACATTTAGACTGAAATAAATAGGTTAGAGTACTATATTTAAAAGACATACATTTTTCTTTTCCCACAAAATTGGTAAACATATATTGCAGAACTATGTCAAAATCACTGCTGGTCTTAGCTAATTGGTGTGTATTCTACCCTACAGCTCAGTGACTATATAAATGAGGACATTAATAATGAAGACTGCCAGTCATTGCAATTGTCCAGAGCTATGCTTAGTTGTTGTATTTTATTTAGCTCTTCTTGTGTTCTAAACCTTCTGTGGCAAAGTAGGTAGTTTCCTATCCGTGATATAATTAATTACATCTTCTTCTGATCTTTCGTATATGTTTTATGTTAATAACCATAGCACTTAAAATAGAATATTGTAAGTACTTGTTTATATGGTTCTCTCCTCACACTCCTGATCTCCACAAGAAGCTGTGAGCTATTCTTAGTTAGGAAAATTGTTTATGAAGGTGCTTAGGCACATGTCAACTTCTCAATAATTAAATGAAATGCTAATTTAAATAAGCATGTGAATCAACAGTGATACTAATATCTTTCGTAGTTTGAAATTTTTGTCAAGTGCTGAAATTTATCATTGATAATAACATTCGTTAACATTTACTGAGCATTTGTCATTTACTAAGTACTGGCTGGGAGCTTTACATGTAAGACAACTCTACTAGGTAGAGTAGGTATTATTATTCTATTATTATTCAAAAGAAAAGAAAACAGCTTAAAGAACTTAAGACACTTGTCTAGTTCAGTCTAACTCCAAAGTCCAAGCTCATAAGACTTTTCCTTCAGGCTATTTGTTATTACTTAGTTGATGATCAGTTCAGTTGCCCCTGCACTTAGCAACATCCAGGGTACTTCTGGTGAGTTACTAAACCCTATTAAAGTTCCTATGGTCACAGTATGAAATAGCTTATGCTAAGCTCACTGAACTTTAATATGTACTAAATTACTTTTAGATCCTAAGTTGTACAACAACCATTTTCTTCTTAAATGTACTCATATTTGTACAAAGTGCTGTTTTGTTTATTGTCTTCTATTCATTTTTTTCATAAGAGCATCCCTCACTTAAGTGATGTCAGAGCACATCTGGGGAAGAGCCAAAATTATTCACTCTCTAGACCCTCATTGAAGTCACTGAAAACTGTTAAATTTTCTCTGAATAGGCCATGCTCTTTTCAAAGCTCTTGGTTAGTTCACATACTGAGCAGATTGCTTAGAGTATCTTTACTTCTCTGCCTAACAACCCTTACACATTTTAATACCCAGATCAAATGTCACCCCCTCCGTGAAGACATTCTTGACATTCTTATTACTTCTTCAAGCACAATTAGTTGCAACTTTTCCTGTGACTTCATATCACATTGTATATATCTTTGCTTCACATGGCCTGCTATTGACATGTGAACTCCAGCATTATGAACTCCTTACTTGTAAAGAGAGTGTGCCAAATATATGCCAAGGAGTCTCACACATAATAGCTATTCTATAAATGTACAGTCTTGCTAATTCTTATTAATGCAGTTTTATAATAAGAAAAGAAAAAGAATAAGAAAGTAAACATTAAATATATTAAATTGTGATTTGATATTAGTTGATATTATAGACAGGGATTTTTATATAATATCCATTTGTATTTTATTCAAAATTATTCATAAACTAGTTGCCTCTCATACTAAAATTAAGATACAGTTTCTTATTAATAATCTTGAAGACAGAATTGTAGTTATCCTTATACATGCCCAAAATCCCCTGCTCTAAGAACATCTGAAAGACTGATGATAAAAATATGTATGGATATAAATATTAAATACAGCAAAAGTATCTGTATGCTCAAAATCTATATATAACTGAGTAATAATCCCTAGTTTGGATTTTAATGCTCAGAACTTGTCAGATACTTTACAATGAAGTGCCCCAATTCCCACTCTACAAAATCCTAAAGCCTTATTAATTTTAAAAATTTCATCTTTGAAATTTTACAAAATTGGAATCATGTCATAAGCCTTACTAATCTCCAAAGAATATTATCATCATATTGGCTTATTAATGTCCATAGGACTTATTTGAGTAACAGTTAAGAGAACTTACAGTTACTTTAAAAAAGACCTAAAACAGATTTTGCTACTAATACCTTATACTGTTCCATGTGGAGACTCTTAAAAATGTGTGTTCAGTACTAAGCTATTAGAAATCCCCAAAATAAAAGGGCAAACTTCTAATGTGACTCTCCAAAGGTTAAAGTACATCCAGTTTATATCTCCAGATGTTTTACTGTCAGCTACTAGTCTTCTACATGGCGACACACTTCAGAGATGTAGGGAGGAGAGAGGCTTTGGGGTGGGCAGAGAATGGGAGAGAGAAAGCGAGAAAGAAAGAAAGGCTAAATGGCAATATTAAATTTCAAATGGCCATCTGGACTAGGACCACAGTGTGCCATAATAGAAGTCTTAATAAGCCACAGAGTCAGTGGTATTAAAAAAAAAGAATGTGGTTGTGAATATTACTTACATACATGTAATAGTCCAGTTGCATTTTTTGAGTGGTTTTTCCTGTAAGTCAAATATGCTCCTCTGAAATGACTAACTTTAGCAGTCAGCTGAGTCATGGATGAAGACGAGGAGTTTGATGACGATGACAAAAGCATAGTTAAGCTTGAAATCTTTTGGCAATACTATACCTTTTCCCCAGTAGTTTGATTTTTAATTTCAGCTTTATTGAAGTTATAATTGACATATAAATGTAATAGTCCTTTCACAGTACTATACCTTTTCATCCAAGGCCTTGTGGTGCTCAAATAAAGATTTCAGCGCCTTGAGAACCTCAACTTCGCTGGACACTCCCGAGGGTGACTGGGCTTGTCGCTTCACCACCGTCATTCTTAGTGACCTTTCATGTCGTGACACAAGGCACTCCAAATGCTCCAGTAATAGCTATTGGGTTTAACAGAAAATGTCATTGCCTTATGAACACAGGTCACTAATGCACAGAGATGATTTCTATCTTAGCAGACTGCAGATTTATATATTATCTAATGATAACATCAGATGATACTAGCATCAATGAAACACAAACCTGAGTTCATAAACCAGGGTTTATGGAACAATATACTAAAAGTAAATTGCATTTCTATCACATAACAATTTATTAAATTAAAATATAATGTGAATTATATGCATTCTTTTATAAGATTTAATAATTTCAGTTTAAATTGAGGAGAACTAGAACACACCATATGTGAAAGTGAAAGTTGCTTGGTCATGTCCAACNATATTTATCGGAAGGATTAATGGTAAGCTGAAACTCCAATACTTTGGCTACCTGATAGGAAGAACTTACTCATTTGAAAAGACCCTGATGCTGGGAATGACTGAAGGTGGGAGGAGAAGGGGATGACAGAGGATGAGATGGTTGGATGGCATTACAAACTCAATGGACATGAGTTTGTGTAAACTCTGGGGGTTGGTGATGGACAGGGAGGCCTGGCGTGCTGCGGTCCATGGGGTCACAAAGAGTCGGACCCGATTGAGCAATTGAACTGAACTGAACAACATATGACTAGTAAGGAGAAAAGATTTTCGGAAGGTGAGTGAAAGCATAGGCTAACAAATGGTGTCTAGGCAAAACAAGCAGGATAACTGAAATAATAAAGAAAAAGCATATATAAGATCCTGAGTTGGAAAGATGTAAATAAAAACTATTATCTTTCAAGAGTTTTCCTAAAGCTCATACTATAATGAAAAATTTAGTTTTTCCACAATACTGCTATTAATTTCAGTGTCACATATTAGTGTCACGTTTCTCAGTTCTTAATAAGTTAATTTTTCTGTATTCACTATCATTAATTTGTGGTTCAGTGTATCAGAAAACTTTGCCTATTACTAACAAAAAAACCCCACAAATATCTGAGATCCTAAATGTATATAGATCAGTCAGTAGGAGTCATATTTAAGCATCAAAATAATAGTTAAAGTTCTTCAGTATGAAGATGATACAATCAATATTTTCAAAGAGCTTTTATTTACCAACCTCTGATTATAACCATGGTATTCTACTTCCCTGAATTCTATAGATTCTATAGACACACCTATAGATGTGTGCACTGGTTAAATCCAAGCTGTTTCACATAAGTTATAGAGCTCTGAATATTGCTCCAACTTTATCTGATATTAGTTTTCCCTTCTCAGCATTTGTCTATATCTAATTCACCATTTATTTTACACATTTACCTTGTTTAAGTCTGTCTCTCAAAAAACAACGTAAGTTCCATGATGAAAGTATTTTTATTTATTAATATTTTCCCTATTTTGTCCATTGCCATATCTCTTAGTGCCTAGAAGACTGGCACATAATAGATGTGCATAAATTTTTGTTGAATGAATAAATGAACAATGATTAAAACAGTAGTTTGTAAGAGCTATGTCTGTAAGTAACAACTCCTCAAACAAATGGGAATCTGGGATATCTGACCCAGATAGATTGGACAAATCAATAATTAGATTAACATCAAAAGAAGGAACATTACCTTCTACGATTCATGGATAGTTAAATGACCACCTGAGTTGTCCTGAAATGAGGTGCCTCCAAAAGTAAGGCTTTGATGGACTGAGTCACAGGGACAAGAGACCATCTTGAAGGGCAGGAAGAACATAAGGACAATGAGGTGAGCTGGCTTCTTTGAACTGCATTGAGGAGTTAAAAGAAATAAAATGACTCGCATAAGGTTTTAAAATTTAGGTCAATGCTCAGAGAACCCAGAAGTTGCTGTGGCTGCTCAGAAAAGCCTCTTACTGAGGTCCCAAGACAAAACAGAAAAAAAGATAAAGAGCCTGATCTAGGAGAGGTCACTGAATTACAATGTATGATGAATTCAGAGCCTTACCAGATAGCTTATTCGGAAACCTTGGAACTACTCTGAAAATGAAAAGGCACCCCCAAGAATTAGAAAAAGGAAATTTGGAAAATATTCTTATTTCCCAAACTCCAATGAGCTGCTATGCTTCACTGGTAAGTTACATCTTATTTGTCTTGATGACCATGCATGACTTCACGTAAAGCAGTTACCTTGCAAAACAAAACCTGTGTTCCCTCTGCTTGAATCTGTGGAGGTCTGTGACTGTTCTAACCAACCTGTGTTGTAAGTTACAATTTGTGACTTTTGAGTCTAGGTCCTAAGAGGCAATGCAGTTTCTAGCTAGTTCACTGGAACACTTGCTCTTAGGCCCTGGAGACACTGCCTAAAAACTCACTATTCTGAGACCACTGTGCCCTAGAGCTCACATGGACGTTCTTGCATGCAAAGTCCCAGCCGAACCTGTCTGTCTTTTAGTCACTCCAGCCTAGGTGCCAGACACAAGAGCAAAGAAGTCATCTCACAAGTAGACCTTTCAATCTGCAGATATTTGAGTCACCACCTGAAGACCGTATGCTAAAGTTGTCCCATACCATCTTATGAGAGAGGATAATTTTCAGAAATCTTGTGAGCTTGTGGTTAAACACAGTTAGTTAAAGCTTAAATTATGTAAGCTTATGACTCAATGGACATGAGTCTGAGCAAACTCCAGGAGACAGTGAAGGACAGGAAGGCCTGGCGCACTGCAGGTCCTAGGGTCGCAAAGAATCATACATGACTTAGAAACTGAACAACAACAAATGATTAAATATTTTAAAAAAACAGTAAACACTCAATATATATCATTTCCTAATTATCTTACTATATTTTACTATTACCAATGTCCATGGGGTTGTTTATTTCAATTGTATTTGAATAATAGAAATACTAAATAATGGTCCACTACTGTGCATTTTTTCCCAACTCTGCATTCAGTGACAGCAGTAGTCTGTCATTGGTAGTTTGAAATCAGCAACAGTGGGAGTATTTCCACCATGAAAAATGACTAACACTATATATTTTTTGCTTTTTCAGATAAAAAAAAAATCATTTACCAGTCACTGTGTGTGTGCTCAATCATGTCCAACTCTTTACAATCCCACGGGCTGTAGCCTGCCAGGCTTCTCTATCCATGGGGTTTCCTAGGTAAGAATACTGGAGTGGGGTGCCATTTCCTTCTCCAGAGCATCTTTCAGACTCAGGGATTGAAACTGTGTCTTCTGCATCTCTTGCATCAGCTGGTGGATTCTTTACCACTGAGCCACCTGGGAAGCCCACTAAACCTCAAGTCATCCCAGCTGAGAGCCCCAAACTTAAGAAGCAGAAAAGGGCTGTCATACCCATGCCCTTTCTGAATCTCTGACCCACAGAACTGTGAGTGTAGTAAAATATTGATTGTGTCACTACATTTTGGGGTGGTCTGATATGAAGCAATAGATAATCAGAAAATCTTCCCTAAAGGGACCTACAACCATGTAGTAACTGCTAAGGAAAACAGAATACAAACATTTCTTTGCATATTAGCTCTAAGCTAAAACTACATTTTTGGTACTCACTGGTGTAAAGTTTTCCAATAATCTGGTAGACAAGATGATCCATCCAGTGGATATTGGACTATTTGTTTGACCACCACAGCATTTGCTCAGTGGGCATAAACTAGTGACCATGGTTTCAGGGATAGGACTTCTTTATTGACCAGACAAAATGGGCTTCTCATCATTAAGGGTGATAGGCTACTACTCCAGACGAACAGCCAAGTTATTTGCTGTAGCCATCAACCTTGAACCTCTGAATACAATATACTTGGAAATCAGCTATCCATCTTGAAGCAAGCAGGTTAAGTCAAACCCTCCCATTAAAAAAGCAGCTGTTTTTTGTTACTGTAATGAACACTTTTTCTGAATATAGATTTGCCTTCTCTAATGGCTATGCCTCTACCAGTAACACCATCTTATTAGATTTTTGCTAACAATCCTATTATCATACACAACACTACTTTTGCACCACTTCCTAAAAAATACAGTGCAAGGGCTAATGCAATTGACTGATGCTCTCAGCCCTGGTTTTACCATGCCATCACACCGTTCAAAAGCTGCTAATCCTAAAGAATGGTTAAGTCACCCAAGGAAGAATCTATTTTGATTTAAGCTGAGAGACAACACATTGCTAGGCTGGGATGTTCTCTTTCTGTAGTAAGTATACACTCAGAATTAATGATAAAAGCAAGGTTCAGTTTTTCTCAGGATATGTATGGGTCTATATACATAGGTCCAGGAATCAAGGTTTAGAATTGGAATTTATATTTCCTAGTAGGACTTTGTGACCAGTTAGAGAAAACAAGATCTTTCTACTTTAATGTATCATATACATAGCATATATTAAATTATTTTCCCATTTTCTTGTTATGTTTTCACTTTTTATTCTATTTTACAATCATCAAAAAAGGAAGAGAGTTCCAGAAAAACATCTATTTCTGCTTTATTGACTATGCCAAAGCCTTTGACTGTGTGGATCACAATAAACTGTGGAAAATTCTGAAAGAGATGGGAATACCAGACCACCTGACCTGCCTCTTGAGAAACCTGTATGCAGGTCAGGAAGCAACAGTTAGAACTGGACATGGAACAACAGACTGGTTCCAAATAGGAAAAGGAGTACGTCAAGGCTGTATATTGTCACCCTGCTTATTTAACTTATATGCAGAGTACATCATGAGAAACGCTGGGCTGGAAGAAGCACAAGCTGGAATCAAGATTGCCGGGAGAAATATCAATAACCTCAGATATGCAGATGACACCACCCTTATGGCAGAAAGTGAAGAAGAACTAAAGAGCCTCTTGATGAAAGTGAAAGAGGAGAGTGAAAAAGTTGGCTTAAAGCTCAACATTCAGAAAACTAAGATCATGGCATCTGGTCCCATCACTTCATGGGAAATAGATGGGGAAACAGTGGAAACAGTGTCAGACTTTATTTTTTTGGGCTCCAAAATCACTGCAGATGGTGATTGCAGCCATGAAATTAAAAGATGCTTACTCCTTGGAA